AACACCGCTGACCCGTAACTTCTACTCTACTTCGACACTGTGGCTGGAGACTAAGTCCCGTTCGAAGATTCGAACGCTTGTTCGAAAGGGACTTAGTCATTTTCTCAGTGTAAAATAGACCGACTGCACAGCCCAAATCTATGGAACTGTTTTGGGCATGAAAATGTGCTTGCGGTCGGTCAAAAGTGACTTTTATCTATCTCCCGAACGGCTGAACGGATGCAAATGATTTTTGGGTATGTTTGTGTTTGAAATGTGCTGATTAATAATATGTGACTTTTATTAATATTGGATGTATAGTTTTAGAGTTATGAAAGTTGGGTAAACAGTATGTTTTAAACTGTACGGCTAATTGTGTTACCTCTCAGGCTAAGGGGAGGAGATGTGTGGGTTGTAACCATTGTTTGATTGGCTAATGTATAATTGTCTGTGGGCGTCTCCCTTGCATGGGAGAATTACATTAAACCAGAGTTCTTCTTCACCCTCAATCTAGAGTCCTGTCTCTTATTGGGGGAATTGCTACATCACTACAAGGGATTGCTATGCTCTGCATGCTCCCTTGAATAATCACTTCTAAGCTCTTTTAAGAGCTTGTTCCTGCTTCACTCTCTTGGAGGAGAGGTTCACCCACTGGAACCTGGAGCCTTGTCGTAGGTCCAGGGTGGGTAGGAGATGGCAAGACCCCACACAAGCTGCGGCAGTTCATGGGGTCTAAAGTGGTTGTGGTGTCTAGCAGAGTGCTTGGAGCCCTCTGTAAGCGCTAGGAGCATCCTTCAATGGAGGTACCCAGTCGGGGTGCCAGGCAATCCGTTACAGTTGGCACTTTAAGTGTTGTTATTTTGGACTAATGTTATATATATATATATATATATATATATATATATATATATATATATATATATATATATATATGTTATTTATAGTGGGGTCAATGCCTTTTATACCTAATGGAAGGATACGGAAGTAAGGGCGGGGCATAGGGCAATGACCCAAAAAGTTTCTATGTTAAGTTATTATTTATATATTTAATAAAGTTGTGGACAATTTAACCCATATACCCTAGTGTCCGTGTTTTATTGGGGTAGGTATGTAGAGGGGGTTTGTGCAAGGTTCTGGATGCCTATATGGCGATGATACAACGGTCATGACTCCCCAACACTTCACAAGATTTGAGGACAACAACCTGGTCAGGTTCTATTATTTCTTCCCGAGAACAACAACTCATGCCCTTCGCGGATCTCACAAACGCCACTCCACTTTCGATTCCTGCAGATTAGGAGCCTCCTGTCCCACCCAACTAACCATAAAGCAGCCACCGCCACACACCAACCTTTGAGAGGATGTGCATACACGCCCCCATTACGGAGACAAATCGCTACCATATATGGTACCTTACACCTCACTAACTCCCCGACACCCGATCATACACCGTGGCCTGGGAGCGGGACATAGGCCCTCCCCCCAGGACCCATCCGACTGGAAGGACATTTGGGAAGCCACGGCGTCCATCTCTATTTGCGTCACATACAAGGAACAGGCGTATAAGACAATGTTCTGCTGGTACATTACCCCCCTAAGACTGAGGTCAGAGAGGAAATGCCCATTCTAAAAAATGGGGTGACATGTCATGAATTTTCGTTTCTCTACTGTAATTTTTTTTCCTATTCAATATTTTAGTGGGTTTGTCCCGTGTCGAATTGTCAGACAAAGTTCTGTATCTAGTTAAATGGGGTGGTATATCATTATGTCGATGTGCTTTAAAGTTACTTTTTCTAGTTTTTTTGGAATGCAGGGATTTTGGCTTGGGAGAAGTATTTTCAAGAACAGATGTTCTCTAATATTTGTTCATATCATGAGAGTCATAACGAGTATCTGCAAGAACAATATTGGGGTTCTGCCCAATGGGTACTGCTAAACAGGGGTCCGGTCAGGTGACGGCCACGACCGAAACCCTGTTGTATGGAATGTGTGTCAAAGTGTGTATATATGTGTGTTAAGGCATGTCCATATGCGTGTCAGTGTATCTGTGTCTGTGTGTGTATATGCTAGTGTGTATCTGTATGTCAGTGAAGCTCTCAGTGTGTGCATGTGTGTGTGTATTTATGTGTCAGTGTATCTGTCAGTATGTGTGTGTCAGGACTGCCATCAGAAATTTTGGGGCCCCTGACACAGCTCAAGGTCTGGGCCCCCCGGTGCCTGCACCCGAGTCCGCCCAAAGTGCTGCCCCACCCCTGAGTCCACCCACAGGGATGCAGTGTCTGTACTGCTTCTGGTGTGTGTATAGTGGATGTAGAATGTGTGTAGTGGATGCAGAGTTTGTGTGTTAAGTGGATGCGGTGTGTGTTTAATGGATGCAGTGTGTATAGTGGATGCAGTTTGTGTGTTTGTGTAGTGGATGTAGTGTGTGTTTATAGTGAATGCAGAGTGTGAATGTGTGTTTGTGTAGTGGATGTAGTGTCTGTGTGTATTAAATGTGATGTGTATAGTGAATGCAGAGTGTGTTTGTGTAGTGGATGTAGTGTGTGAGTGTAGTGAATGCAGAGTGTGTGTAGTGGATGTAGTGTTTAGTGAATACAGTGTGTGGATGCACAGTGTGTCTTTGTGTAGTCGATGTAGTGTGTGTATAGTGACTACATAGTGTGTGTTTGTGGAAGTATTTAATGTGTGTATAGTGACTGCAAACTGTGTGTTTGTGTAGTGGATGTAGTGTGTGCAGTGACTACAAAGTGTGTGTTTGTGTAGGTACTGCAGAGTGTGTGTTTGTGTTAGGAAGTAGTGTGTGTAGTGAAGCTCTCAGTGTGTGCATGTGTGTGTATTTATGTGTCAGTGTGTCGGTCAGTGTGTGTGTGCGTGTGTCAGGGCTGAAATCAGAAATTTTGGGGCCCCTGACACAGCTCAAGGTCTGGGCTCCCCGGTGCCTGCACCCGAGTCTGCCCAAAGTGCTGCTCGCAAGATTTCGACAGTGCAGAGCATCTGGGTAGTATATTTCAAGTGTGCTGGGCCCCCTGCAGAATACAGGTAGCGGGGGGCACTTAGTGCACATAGCTAATGTGGGCAGTGGCGTACACACAACCCATGGGGCCTCAGTGCGAAAACTGATCCATGGGCCCCCCCGCGCGCGCTTACTCTTTGCGGGGTGGGGCCGCAACACATGGCTGCGGGCACCTGGTCGCAGGGGTCGCAGGGCTGAGAAGACGCTGAACGTCCATAGGAAAGCATTGAGTAATGAGACTGAGAGGTGGATCAGGGCAGAGAGATCCCCAGCACCAAGGGAGGCGCTGGAGAAAGTTAAGTGCTTAAGACACACACACACTCTCACTAACAGACGCATACACACTAGCTAACAGACACCCACATTTACTGACAGACACACACTCAGTGACAGACATACACACACTCACTCACAAACCACACACTCACTAACATACGCACACAAACTAACACACTCAGTAACAGACACACACAGTAACACACTCACTGACACACTCTAACACACACACTAACACACACACACACACACAGTCTCTAACACGCACACACTGACACACACTCTAACACACAGACACACTCTAACACTAACACACACTAATACACACACACACACACACACACACTCTAACACACACACTCTTAAACACACACACACTAACACACACTCTAACACTAACATACACACACAAACACTCTAACACTAACACACACACTCTAACACACACACTTTAAAAAAAAAATAAAAAAAAATTCATCCCCCCAGCCTTCCTACCTTTGGGAGGGCTGAGGGGATTCCCTGGGGTCCAGTGGTGTCACCCGGCGGCCGGTCCTGACGTCATCTTCTGGCTCCGGCATCAGAGGGAGCTGAAGAGAAAGCACTCAAGGGAGAGTGCCTTGCGCGCCCGCCGGGTGACACCAGGGCCATAACACCACCATCGTGTGGTGGCAAGGTGTAACTGCGACCACCCAATAATTGTCAATTAAGCTGCGGTTAACCGCAGCTTCTGGGAGGCTAATTGCCGGCACACTCCAGCTCCCAGGTGGTCTAGTCATTCGTGCGGTTGTTCGGTAGATTGAATCTACCGAACACCGGGCTGAAAAGCATGAATAAGCCTTTTCTGCAGGGGAAACAAAGTCTTTTAACATGGGGCCATAATCCAAAGGCAGCAGGCGAGCAACCAGGCTTCTCCAATGCAATGTGGCGAGATTGCTCTCGTCACACACATACTGACAGATACACACACCTTGGCACTCAGATATACACACTGGCACAATGATACACAACTTGACACACAGATACACACTGGCAGATACAACTCAGGCACACAAATACACACACTTTGACACACAGATACACACTGTGTGTTAAGGTGTGTATATGTGTGATTTGTGTGCCTGAGTGTATCTGCCAGTATGTATCTGTGTGTCAAGTTGTGTATCATTGTGCCAGTGTGTATATCTGAGTGCCAAGGTGTGTGTATCTGTCAGTATGTGTATCTGGGTGTTAGTGTTTTTGGCAGTGTGTGTATCTGTGTGCCACTACGTGCCAGTGTTTATCTGTGTTTGTATGTGCCGGTGTGTGTATCTGTGTGTCAGTGTCAGATACACACACTGCCACATAGTGGCACACAGATACACACACTGCCAAAAACACTAACACCCAGATACACATACTGACAGATATACACACACCTTGGCACTCAGATATACACACTGGCACAATGATACACAACTTGACACACATATACACACTGTCAGATACACTCAGGCACAGAAATACACACACTGGTGTGTATATATGTGTGATTTGTGTGCCTGAGTGTATCTGCCAGTGTGTATCTGTGTGTCAAGTTGTGTATCATTGTGCCAGTGTGTATATCTGTGTGTCAAAGTGTGTGTATTTGTGTGCCTGAGTGTATCTGCCAGTGGGTATATGTGTGTCAAGTTGTGTATCATTGTGCCAGTGTGTATATCTGAGTGCCAAGTTGTGTGTATCTGTCAGTATGTGTATCTGGGTGTTAGTGTTTTTGTCAGTGTGTGTATCTGTGTGCCACTATGTGTCAGTGTGTGTATCTGACACTGACACACAAATACACACACCAGCACATACAAACACAGATAAACACTGGCACATAGTGGCACACAGATACACACACAGACAAAAACACTAACACACAGATACGCATACCTTGGCACACAGATACACACACATTGGCACATACACACACTGACAGATACACTGACACATATATACACACACACACACATACAAACACTGACAGCTACACTGACACACAGATACACACTAGCATACACACACAATGTGTATTTGTGTGTCAAGGTGTATGTATCTGTGTGTCAATGTGTGTATTTGTGCGCCTGTGTGTATCTGCCAGTGTGTGTGTGTATTTGTGTGGGTGTCAGTGTGTACCTATGTTTCAAGTTGTGTATGTGCCGGTGTGTATCTGTGTTTGTATGTGCTGGTGTGTGTATCTGTCAATGTGAGTATCATTGTGTCAGTGTGTGCCAAGGTGTGTGTATCTGTCAATATGTGTATCTGTGTTAGTGTTTTGTCTGTGTGTGTATATATGTGCCACTATGTGCCAGTGTGTCAGATTACACAGATACACTGACATACAGATAAACACATCAGCATACACAGATACACACTGGCACATAGTGGCACACAGATACACACACTGAAAAAAACACTAACACACAGATACACATACTGACAGGTTCACACACATTGGCACACAGATACACACACACACTAGAATAATGATAAACACATTGGCACAAAGGGCCCCACATTCAGTGGCGTACATACCGGGGTCGCAGGGGGCCCGGCTGCCCTGCGACCCGGTATGTACCCACTGTGGCCAGCCTCTTCTCCTGGAGGGCCCAGCTTGACCCTCAACACGGAGCCTAGTCTCGTCTTTGGGGGGATTTACTGAATGCTGATAGAGACTAATTGCTAGGAGTGTAAGCCGCTTGGGTGCTTTTCCTATTCGTCTGCTAGCAGCTATTCGTATGGTTCCAGTTCGTGAGTTTGGAGTGCTATACTGTATGCCGTTCGGGAGTTTGGAGCATTCCCTTACATGCGGTTCGTGAGTTTGGTGTTCTACAGTAGCTGTGCCTGTGTCTCTGGAAAGGGGACGATCGCCTAAACGGTTTTAACCCATTGTGTGCTGAAACGGTCCATTGCAATTGGTGGCTGTTAAGACACCCCTGGTGTCTTTAAGGGAAACCGTCATTTAGTTTACCTTCCCCTTTCGCAATTCCGTAAACCGTTCGCATTAATTATAATCCACGAACCATAACCAGGGGAAGCGGTAATCTCCCGAACGAGACCCGTGAAAGGCTCCAAACTCCTGAACGGAAATCCACGAACTGCTGCTAGCCGCCGAACAACGATATCCACCAAGCGGCTTTTGGTTCCATCCAGCAGTCTCTAAATGCAAAGAAGAAATCCCCCCAATAACGAGACAGAAGCTCCGCATTGAGGGTCAAACAGGATCTGGCTTTACTGTGGGCTACCTGCCCGTATTTATGCAGGTCTCCCACTTGGTGGACACTCCCCTAGGGGACCAAATGGGAGACTGGAATTACAGATGGACATAAAGACATTCCAGACATACAGTCACAGCTTTTACCCACAATGCAATATGGTTTCCTCCCCTCTGCCCTGGAGATAATTGAGAAGTAACTCAATTATCTCCAGGACAAAGACAATCACCATCTTAAATATAAAACCAGAAAATACATAAAAATATATAACTTTACAATAACCGAACATTTCCCATTCGCATCACATATCCCCAGATAGCCTGGATCTGAGTGCATATTATTAGCGAATAGTGCTCAGATCCCACACACATAGTTCAATTGCCATGGAGTCAAAGTTCTTACAGTCTTTCGGTATGCGATTGACTCCATGGGAAGGCTATCTGGGTTAAGTCCTTTCGTGTGTTTCAAAACTCCCGAACGGCCGGTGTTCGTATGCTTTCGTGGAGGCAGCCAGGCGTTCCGTTGTTTCAGCTGTGTTCGGCAGAAAAAGTGTCAGTTTTTAGTTCCATGTAAATAGAGCCGAACACCGCTGGGCTTTCACGTGTTTTAAAATGGCCGCTGCCTCGTGATCGACATACGAACGATGACCACCCTGAATTCGGTTTAATTGAGAAGTGTCTGCGGTTAACCACAACGTTCTAATTGGGATCAATAGGTTAACCAGCAGCACACTTCTCTCCTGGGTGGCCATCCGTTCAGTAGTTTTGTTTGGGAAAAACGGTCATTCGTATGGCTGGGCTATAGAAAACAGCCATTTACACGAATGGGGCAGAAACAGACGAATCCACCGCAATAACCAGACAGATGGTTCTGTCACAGTGGCAAGCAGCGGGATCGTTCCTACAGCCAGAAGGACAACTACAGGAGACACCATTCCATGGATTTTACAATTTGAGGGCAAGGCATGTCTGAGTACAGCGACCGAGATTCAATCTACCGAACAACCGCACGAATGACTAGACCACCTGGAAGCTGGAGTGTGTCGGCAATTAGCCTCCCAGAAGCTGCGGTTAACCGCAGCTTAATTGACAATTACTGGGTGGTTGCGGTTACACCTAGCCGCCACACGATGGCGGTGTTATGGAAGCTCCCCGGGTAGCCAGCGCTTGTTCTACCCAGAGGCAGGACAACAAAAGCGGACACTTTTGTCTTCCAAGCCCCGCTGAGGCTGGAAATCTGCAAACCCGTTCGGGAACCGAACAACGGAGCATTCGGGACTTTTAGTGCTGCAATTGTATTCGGTGTGCAAGTACCCAGATAGCCTGCCATGGAGCCTGTTCGTGGAATTAAAGACTTTGGCTACATGGTGATTAAACTGTATTCGTGTGGTCTGAGCGCCATTCACTCAATAATGTGCGCTCAGACCTTAGCTATCTGGGGACATGTTAAATGTATATTTTTTATGTAATGTGTCTTACATATAATAATGTAATAATTATAATGTAATAATAATTCTTGTGTTAGTATCCCCATGTGCATAATGCCGATTTGCCTTTGTCCTGGGAGAGAATTGAATTACTTCTCAATTATCTCCAGGGCAGAGGGGAGGAAGCCAGGATGCATTGTGGGAATACAATGTGACTGTGTGTCCTATTTGGCTACTTGTCTGTCCCTTGTCACAGTCTCCCATTTGGTCCCCTAGGGGAGTGTCCACCAGGTGGGAGACCTGCATAAATACTGGGCAGGTAGCCCTCATTAAATAGACCACAGGTTGACCCTCAACACGGAGCCTTGTCTCGTCTTTGGGGGGATTTACTGAATGCTGATAGAGACTGATTGCTAGCTGTGTAAGCCGCTTGGGTGCTTTTCCTATTCGTCTGCTAACAGCTATTCGTATGGTTCCAGTTCGTGAGTTTGGAGTGCTATACTGTATGCCGTTCGGGAGTTTGGAGCATTCCCTTACATGCGGTTCGTGAGTTTGGTGTTCTACAGTACCTGTGCCTGTGTCTGTGTCTCTGGAAAGGGGACGATCGCCTAAACGGTTTTAACCCCTTGTGTGCTGAAACGGTCCGTTACAATGTGTAGCTGGGTGTTAGTGTTTTTGTCAGTGTGTGTATCTGTGTGCCACTATGTGTCAGTGTGTGTATCTGACACTGACACTCAGATACACACACCGGCACATACAAACACAGATAAACACTGGCACATAGTGGCACACAGATACACACACTGACAAAAACACTAACACCCAGATACACATACCTTGGCACTCAGATATACACACTGGCACAATGATACACAACTTTACACACAAATACACACTGGCAGATACACTCAGGCACACAAATACACACACTTTGACACACAGAAACACACTGTGTGTCAAGGTGTGTGTATATGTGTGACGGTGGGTATATCTTCGTACCAGTGTGTGTATCTGTGTGCCTGTGTATGTATGTGTCAGTGTGTATCTGTGTGCTAGTGTGTATGTCTGTGTGTCAAGTTGTGTATGTCTGTGTGTATGTGCCGGTGTGTATCTGTGTTTGTATGTGCCGATTTGTGTCTGTGTCACGGTATGTGTATCTGTGTTTGTATGTGCCAGTGTGTATATATGTGTGTCAACATGTGTGTATCTGTGTAGTGTGTGCATCTGTGTGTCAGTGTGTGTGTCTATGTTTGTGTGTATATGACTGTGTATGTGTCGGTGTGTTTCTGTTTGGTAATGTGTAAGTAAGTATGTGGCAGTACATTTTCAGACATCTCAGCAATCAAACACTAACACAATACACACCCCTGCAAACACAAGCATGACATAAAAAGACACCCCTGAACTCTAACTCCAAAATTATATACAAAAACTCAAACACCTATACTACACACAAATGTACATCCACATTAAAAACACTACATCCAAATACAGCTCTGCATGCAAATGCTTTATTAAAACAATAAAATTAGAACACTAACTCTACACACAAAAACACATGCTCCTGAGTACTGCAATCTGATTACTAGCTGTAGAAATTAGTGTGTATATATAGCAAAAAAAAAAAAGATTGTAAAAATAAGACATTATGCTCTGGTAATTGGAAGGTTTACGCAATGTAGAGAAATAGTTTTTTTTGGGGGGTGAAAGAGGGATGCACTGTCAAAGGGTTCCACGGGAAAAATTAATTGGGAGCCCCTGGGTTAGAGCAAAGGTAGTCCATCGTGCACAGAGTGTGAAGATAAAAGCTAAATAGGGCTCCTGACATCCTCTCACAGCCCATTTGAACTTGTCTTCTTCTCTTGTATTTTTGCTTTGTTAATTGCTTACCTGGATCAATGTTGTTCCATATGATATCTACATAAAGCTCCCTGTCACTCCTACTCTGCTCATGATAAAATCCCAGCGCATGCATCATTTCATGGTGGATTGTTCCGCTGGCTAAGCAGCCTTCTTTATTCAGGCTGACAGTCTGTTTGCCACCAATTCTTCCATAATTTGCCCAGCACCTAAATAAACAACATACAAATATTTATTAAATATTAGTATATTAGATCAATTACAATTCATAGTTTAAATATTTAAATAGTCATGGCAATCTTTTTGGTCATTATTTTGGTCCATAAAGACTACATCAGGCACTCACTGTGACAGATTTAAGGAGGTTTATTGGACACCACAATTTTTTTTATCAAGCTTGATAAAGACATGGGTAAAGGTCAAAACATTGCAGTGCCCAATAAACCTGGTTAAATCTGTCACAGTGAGTGCCTGAGATTTTTTTTTTTATACTTTTTCTTATGGGATATGCTTACCCATGTTCAGTACCCTCTTTTCTTTTTTTCATAAAGACTACATGGACCTTCAGCATGGAATGTTCTTCTCTTTTAACATTGATTGCATGACACAGCCCATTATTGTTAGTAGTTTTTCCATTTGAAAATGAATTAAAAATTATTTTAAAAAATTATGTCTTGTTATTACATTAACACTGTCATTGTTCCTAGGGTTTGAAATATCAGATAAATTATTCCATGTCCAAAGCTATGCTGAAGAAACACATTTTTCTGTTTAATTGAAACATTATACAAGAAAAACATCTTCATTAATGTGGCTGTCATATGAAGATTTCTGTATACCCTTAAACAGCTAAATAAAAAGGGTCTATTGCGTGACCATATAATTTTAAACCCATTCAGCTCTGGAAACTGAACAAGATATTTATTGTTCTAGA